GCTGAGCGGTAGAGCGCTTGCTTAGCACAGGTAAGGCCTTGGGTTCAACCAGCCCCACATAAATAAATAAATAAATAAAGGTATTGTGTCCAACTACAATTGAAAAGTAAATATTAAAAAAAAAAAACCTCTCCTTAAGTATATCAAATGCCAGATATGCCATTTCATCCTATATAGTTCCATGTGTACCTCTGAAAAAAACATGGACATTGTCTTACATAAACTTACGACCAGTATCACATCTAGGAAAATGAAAGTACACCCAGTCAACAAGCAAATTTCCCTAACTGCTTTTCAGTACTGGGGATCAAACCCAGGGCTACACAAGCATTCTACCACTAAGCTCAATTATCCTTAAAATGTCTTTTCTCAGTTGGTTTGTTCAAATCATCATTCAAAAGATCCACGTATGGGGTCGGGGTTGTGGCTCAGTAGTAGAGCGCTCACCTGATATGTGTGAGGCACTGGATTTGACCCTCAAAACCACATAAAAATAAATAGATAAAATAAAGGTATTGTGTCCATCTATAACTAAAAAAAAAAAAAAAAGAAAGAAAAAGAAAAAGAAAAAAAAAGACCCATGTCTAACATGTGGTTATAGGGAGCTCTTAGGTCTTAGGAAGCCAGAGTGGAGCCCCTTCCTCAATGAACATTTTTCATGCCAGCAACTTGTTGGAAGAAACCAGATGGACTGTCCTGTAGGATAAGCTAGTGTATAGATTAGCTTGTATATCATAGGATAAGCTAGGTTACACTGTGGGACCCAGAAACTCCAGCATCTCATTGGCTTAAAACAATGAAACTATTTCTCACTCCTATATATCCATCTGAGATTGAGGGGGAGTTCTGCTAGCATTTAATCATCAGTCTCACACCCAGAACCAGACTAATGAAGTAATTACAGTGCAAAACATTGCTGGTTATCTTAGTAGCAGAAGAAAAGAGCTCTAAAGAGTCTCATTTAGGCAATTAAATGCTCAGACTGGTAGTCAATTATTCTTTATCTCATTGGCCAGAACTGATCATAAAAAGAAATCCAGGAAGTATATCTTAACCATGTGCATGGAAATTACAGATATGAACATTTCAGTGAGCTGCACTAACATCTACTAGTCTATTTGCTCCCTTGTGGTGTCATTTTCCTTGATTTGACAAGAGAACATCATAGGTTGGTCTGTGTGCTTCACACAGCATCACAGCAGAAGACACGCAGTGTTGAAACAGATTGCAGCAGTAACAGGCCCTTTCTCCACAGCCCCTCCTTGAATTCATGCCCTTAGGTAGATCTCTCACTTTGACACTGGCTTTGATCATGTGACATGATTTGGAAATCAGAACAAGAGTAAATCTGATGCAGTCAGAGATTCAAAAAGTATGTGTACTGCCAAGCATGGTGGTGCATGCTTGGAGGTTGAGGCAGGAGGATCCTGAGTTCAAAGCCGACCTCAGCAAAAAGCAAGGTGCTAAGCAACTTGCAACTCAGTGAGACCCTATCTCTAAATAAAACACAAAATAGGGCTGGGGATATGGCTCAGTGATTAAGTGCCCCTGAGTTCAATCCCTGGTACCAAAATAAAGTATGTGTACCTTGGGACCTTCCCCTCTTGCTACTTCTTAGAATACTGAGACATCATCTGAAGAGACCTGGGCTAGATTACTGGAAGGTGAGAAACTACTTAGAGCAAGAAATGAACAGTCACAGATAAGTCCACCTAGACCAACCAACCTACATTATCTAGACTTCCTGAGTTGCCAGCTGACCACACAGATCAGTCAAGCAGCACAAACAAGAAAATCTGCCAGTAGATCCACAGAACTGTGAACAAATGAAATTGTTCCTTTTAAGTCAAAAAAATTGAGGGTGGTTGATAACAGAACACAAGCTAACTAATATACTAGTTAATTCATTTTTAGTAGATTATTAGATCCAACCTGATCCCTGCATTGTAAAGTTCTCCATAAACTTTTCAAATAAGGTTTCATCTACTGATTATTATTGCCTATATCAACAATTAATGGCACCCAAGTTAATGATTTTCTAATTCTATTATACCATCCACACTAATTAGCAGGATTTCTTCTGCAAATAACTTTCTCTTATCTACTAGTGATAATTAATAACCCTTAAATATAGTTTGTACAAGATAAATTTCTAATTCTTTCTTTTGAATTTTAAGTTTCAAAGGAAAAATTTGTGCCCTAGTTACTGCTCATGGAGCTCAATGAGGGTTTAGTTTTGTTCATTTATTTATTTTTTGTTCTCATATCAATATGAATTGATTTTTTAAAAATATTAGATATGGTTTCAATAAACTGCAGATGCTCTTTTTTTTCTATCCAAACCACTCCAGTTTTGGCTCACATGTTGGCTTCTGTATCTTTTTTCTTTTTATTTTTTTGGGGGAGGCAGTATTGGGAATAGAACCCAGGGGCATTCTACCAATGAGCTACATCCCTCGTTTAGTTTTTGAGACAAGGTCTCAAAATAAAGTTGCAAAGGCTGACCTTGAACTTGCAATCCTCCTGCTTTGGCCTTCTAAGTAACTGAGATTACAGGCATGCACTACCGTGTCCACTTGGTTCCTGTAGCCTTTTGACATGATCCATTAGTTGTTACTTTAAGGCATAATGAAATTTCCCAAGCTCATTTTGTGTATTTCTCCACAAGCTAGCCATTCCTCCAAAGAGCCTTGGATCTAATTAATGGGAAAGGTATTTTGAGATCACAATCTGGGTAGTTGGTGTGATCAATGCCATTTGAATGCCACTGCCTCTAGACAATAACAGATTTTAGTAGACAGACTTAAGAAATATGTATTCTTAGCAGGGCACAGTGGTGCACTCCTATAATCCCAACTACTTAAGAGGCTAAGACAAGAGGATTCCAAGAGCAAGGCCAGCCTGGGAAATGTAGCTTGACTGGCATAGGTGAGGCTCTGGGTTCAATCCCTAGTACCTCCCTCTCCCACACACACACAAACAAAAAGGAAGGAATAAAAGAAATATGTATTCTTGGGCTGGGGATGTGGCTCAATCGGTAGCGTGCTCGCCTGGCATGCGTGCGGCCGGGGTTCGATCCTCAGTACCACATATAAACAAAGACGTTGTTTCCGCCGAAAACTAAAAAAAATAAATAAATATTAAAATTCTCTCTCTCTCTCTCTCTCTTTAAAAAAAAAAGAAATATGTATTTTTTAAAAAAGGTGGGGGGAGTTTATGATGCTATTTCAATTAAAATTAAACCATAGAGGAATTTACTCAATTTATTTGATTTTATACTTGTATTTCTTTACTTAAAAAATATAATTTTGATTCTTAACCACATTAATATAATAACTAATTTGCACTATCCTATAACTTACAGAATATTAAAATAGTTTCAAAGTATAATATTACTACCAATAATGAAATGAAATCTAAGATCTTTTTGTAGTTGTATTTGTTTTTATCAAAAAATGCCTGAAAGGGCAGCAGAATAGAATTGACAATATGAGTGATGTATGTACATTCCATGTAGGTATTATATGTCAAAATTCATTCTGTTGTCATGTATGACTAAAAAGAAAGAAAGAAAGAAAGAATTTTTAAAAAATGTCTGAAAGGACTGGGATTATAGCTCAGGCCTGCCTTGCACATGTGAGGTACTGTGTTTCATTCTCAGCACCACAAAAAATAAAAAATAAAATATTGTGTCCATCTACAACTAAAATTAAAAATAAAAAATTAATGCCCATAGTCTCAGCTTTTAGGAATATCACCTGAGCCAGCCTAGATGCGTGTATATATAGAGAGAATTTTAAGGCTTTGGCTCTTGGAAGCCAGCAAATCCAAAATCTGCAGGGGAGAATTACCATCTGGAGATCCAGGGAAGAACCAATGCTGCATGCAGTTCAGTTCTGAAGGTCATATCTGGAAGAATTCCTTCTTAGCCAGGGGAAGTCAGTCTTTATTCTGTTAAGGCTTTTAAATGATTTGACAAGGCTGCCACATTATGGAGAAAAGTGATCTGCTTTATTCAAAGTCCACCAAATTAAATGTTTATCTTATATAAAAAACACCTTCACAACAATGTCCAGAATAATGTTGGACAAATATCTGGTCAGTATAGCCCAACCAGTTTGATCAGTAAAATTAAGCATTAACAAATGCACTGCTTTGTGAGTTGAACTGTGTCCCCCAAAAACATATTTGAAGTTTTAATACCTGGAACCTGTGAACATGATCTTACTTGAAAATGAGGTCACTATAGATGTAGACAATAAAGCTGAGGTACATTCCTGTTTGCCTTTATTTTGAAACTGCTTTTAAATTTAATTTTTGGCTATATAAGTTATTTATGTTTCAAGTCAAAACTATTGATATATTCATGGGGCTGAGGGTGTAACCCAGTGATAGAGCTTTTGCCTGCCATGCATGAGGCCCTGAGTTTGACAGCAACACACACACACACACACACACACACACACACACACACACACACACAAAGATATACTCAGAGAAGTCTTTTACCAGTGTGTCCTTCTTTCTTCCTTGTTTCCTCAAAATATCAAAAAACATTAAATAATGTGAATAATCGGGAAATATGGTTATGCTTCCTAACTCTTCTGTAAGGTTTTCAAATCAGAACAAAATTTCAAAAACTGAAAACCAAAATTACAACTCATTTTACAGGGTCTAGTTCAGGTCCCATGGCCTCAATCAAACTTTCCCATAAATACTTTTTTTCTTTAAACTCTTATATTGTTTACTATCTATATTGCTCAGCTCTTTGCATCAATCAATAAATTAAAAAATTAATGCATTGAGATCTGATAGGTATTATATTAGATGCTGTGGGGACATATTGTATTATCAGTTAAATTTTCACGTATAGTCATTTCCTTGATTAAGCTATATATTGAAACCAAGGCTCCCTCATATCCTCCATGGCGGTCAGCACTGCTGATTAACGAAACCAGAATGTCTTTGCCCAAAATATTGAAAAAATATAAAAACTTAAGCAGACTGATACACATCTTTTAATAAAGTCTACTAATGACAATTTCATGTTTAAATAAATACACTGTTAAAAATCATGCAAGAGTATTTTATTATAATTACTAAGAATGATTTGAGACTACTAGTCCCTCTGCAGAAACACAATGCACAGATATAAAATGATCAAAGGCTTTTGTAATTATGAATCTCAAGTAAGTACAGTAGCCATCATGAACCTGTAGAGGAAAAATCAATATGGATACTTTTAGTAATTGTTAACAAACAGTAGAAGAAAGGGTATGATGCAAGAGTGATATTCTAAATACATAACAATATGCAAGATATAATATTCAGAAGGTAAACCCAGCCACATATAACGGTTGTTCTGGGTTGTAGCAGTTTTGAAAGTAGTCTTCATGAAAAGAGATTTCCCTTGGTTAATGATGCCTCAGAATATACTACCTTATAGCATAACTATACTTTTATATTTGAATAGATTTTCTGGAAAGCACTTTGGCAAATATGTAAAAAGCTATAAAAATGTTTGTACCCTTATACCTAGTAATTCCATTCCATGAAATTTAATCTTAGAAAATAATCAAAAAGGTAAAGGTCATGGTAGCAAGAACATGTATAAAATGTCTCCTGTATATTACTTGTAATGACAGCAGGAGAAAAAAGAAAATTAGTTTAAATGAATGGAAGTAGCAAATGTTATCTTAAAATTGAAATTATGAAGCTTGTGAAATAACATTAAGTTAAAAAGGTAAAACAAAATTGTACAATATTATTATAACTATGTGATGCATATGGTCAACAACTAGAAGAAAATAAGTGTAGTAAATCTCTTGTGACAGAGTAATAAAATTAAGGGTAATTTCCAGCCTCTAATCCCCCCTTACTACTTTCTATAATCCTGCCCTAATCTACAATGAATCCAGAAACAAACTACCAAAACAGCAAGGGCTCACTAATCTTAACCCACTAGGTAAAGAAGGAGAACAGGAAGGTAAAATTCAGCAAAAATAATCATTTTTGTCGTCCTCTCCTCCACCTTCCTAATTATCAGGCCAATTTTGGTGGGAGAAAGAGACTAATGTATTCAAAAACTTCCCACAGAATCTTAATTTCATAGCAGCTCCTAGCAAGATATGAAGACATAACCTTAATGGATAAGGTACCTTTAGAGAAACCTTATTTAAAGAAACCTTAGTTAAACAAATACTACCACCTAAAAAAATACACATTCGGTTGTTTTACTTTTGTATTTGTCTAAACCAAGTCCTGAAAACCTAGCAGGAACACAGGAACTCCTGACGAGGCAGCAGTTCCCTCATCAAAGGGCATTCATTCCACTTGACAAGCAAAGCCCAGTGGAATGTTGTTGAAAAATACTGGTTCTCTTTCCACTTCATCTCTCTTTGGCTTATTTGTTGCTGATCCTATGCTCCAGTTCCTTTTATCTGAATCTCTCTTGTCCTTTCATGCTTAAATTAACATCCAGTTTTGACATCTCAACCTTTTTTTGATTCCTGTTCTAAATGGCCTACAGAATCACATGAAAGAAAGCCAAGTAGAACTATCAAATACTTCCAAATAAAGAAATGAGCAGAATAAAACAAAAAAAAATTCTGCTTTATCCTTGCTTTCACCCTTCCTTATAATATATTTAGCTTATAATACTGTTGAGAATAACCTCTCTATTGGTTGATGAGGTACAGAACCTATAATACCATAAGGATATTTATTAATTCTAGGACTAGGGAGATAGATTTAAAAATTAAAAACATTGTGCTTACTAAAGATGATATTTATCTAAACAAAGTATATTCACTTACCAAAATTTCTTCATTTTGAAGCTGACCCTCTGTGTGTACAAAATCTAAAAAATAAATTTAACAGAAATGAGTTAAGGTTCAAAATATATAAGGATAACTCCTGAAATTTATGTTCAACAAAATATGATTATCTTGGGCTGGGGTTGTGGTTCAGTGGTAGAGCGTTTGCCTAGCATGTGTGAGGCACTGGGTTTGTTTCTCAGCATCACACAAAACGAATAAAATAAAGGTTCATCAACATCTAAAAAATATATTAAAAATATGATCATCCTGTAAACCATAAGTTAAAATTGAATTTAAAGGAATTGTCTGTGCTTGGGTGTTGAAATCTGATATAAAAATAGAGACGTTTGATATAAAAGTTTAAAAAACTATTTGATCTATAAAATATCTCTAGGGAGTATAAGCAAAAGATAATACAAATGTAAATTTATTATAAAGGAATGTAAAGCAAGGACCAGATAAAATGTGAAAATGTCTCCTGACAAGAATTATTTCATTACACTCAGGGATAACAACTAGAGCTTCGTTGCTCAGAGTAAATTCTCACTATGATGTAGAATTATGAGGCTGGTGAAGTGATCTTTTCTGGTATTCAAGTATAAAAAAACCTTTACTTGTATAATAGGATAGATTATTTATTTGGTCATGAGTTAATCACATCAAACTTTTTTTTTGAAACATTGACAACTTAATTGATATAGTAATATTTACTGGCATTAATTTTAGTTCTATCAAAAAATTAATATACGTAATTTTAAGACACACAGTATAAGGGCAGTCTCTAGGAAGAAAAATTATGTGTGACTTCTGCTTCTTGATGAAAAACTATAAATCACCCCCCTCCATTTGCCCTCATTCTCTTCCAATCATACTCCCTAGCAGTAATGTTTTCAACTCTTTAGGCTTGTTCTTCCTGGATTATGATTATATTCCCTTTTTTTTTATCAATTTTTTTAATTGACTTTACATTATAGTCAGTGAAAATTTAGGTTTCTTAAACCAAGAATCCTTTCTTCTTCCTGCTGCAACTTCTACCTCCTCCCATCCCCTCAGTTTTGAAATCAATATTTGATAGTTATATTATTATATCCATATAAATGTTACTGAGTACTGAGATAATACATTATGATCACATTTTCTTTCTTATACATCTCCATTAAAAATTAATGACAACCCCTTCTTTTTTAAAAAATATTTATTTTTTTAGTTGAGTTGGACACAGTATCATTGTTTTATTTATTTATTTTTATGTGGTGCTGAAGATTGAACCCAGGGTCTCACACGTGCTAGGCAAGTGCTCTACCGATGAGCTGCAACCCCAGCCCCTGATAACCCCTTCTTTATTTGCTTAGCTTTTTTTTCAGTTATGAAAAACTGGAAAATCTCAAAACGAAATGAAGAGAGAAAATAATATTTGCCATATATACCCACTATCTAGATTTTATAATTACTAACATTTCAGCATTATTGACTTAATTTAAAAAAAATTTTTTAGTTGTAGATGAACATAATAATTTTTTTTTAATTTTTATTTTTTAGTTTTAAATGGACCTTTTATTGTTTATGTATTTATATGCGGTGCTGAGGATAGAACCCAGGGTCTCACACGTCAGGCAAGTACTCTACCACTGAGCCAAAACTCCAGCCCCCC